GGGAGTTTATGCATTGTAAACTTGATGATTAGCTGATTTTAAACAATAAACCATCCTGTGAGCTACTTAAGCATTTTTCTTCTTTAATTTTATTCATTCATAGCAAGCAGTTACATTTAGGGCTGATTCTGAAAAGTGCTGAAAATATGCAACCCAATTAACTTCCTGTGTGAGGACCTTGGGATCAGACTCTTGGATGCTGAGCACATAAGGGACTGCTGTAGTGTCAGACGTGCAAATACAAATGAGACAAATATGAGCTCTTACATAATGTGCTCATTCAAAGGTAGAGCGCTTCAAGCTACACCGGTACTGAAAACCATGACAACAGACAAACAATATCCCACTCACGGTAATTGGATTTTGTCACTCTTGCCAGAAAATACAGGGCTAGTGTCTGCCATTCTCTCTCACCTTCAGTAGGTCCTTACTTCTCAAATATTTTTATTTGTTCCCGTGCCCATTGACAGAGTAAAGCACTGCTCAAGGAGAGCAGAATTGCCCTATGCTGAGTACAGTACATATGCATTTTGAAAGCTGTAGAAATGTAAGCCTTCTGGAGCCAATCCCAGGTGTCCATACCTTGTGGGAATTTCCCCCACTGCTCAGTGCACACACTTGTAGCAATGTATTATCCCGCTTTACATGGAGCTTTGAAAAAATCAATGTACAGTGTCTCATTCCATCACAATAAACATACTCTGCATGAACCAAACTTTGCCTCTCAGCCACTACTCCCACAAGAAACTGGGTATAAATGATGATTTATTGTAATTTTTAGGAAGAACAATTCAAGAAATCACACTGGGCATGATCTGTAGGACATACAGACCTGCACTTCCAATGGTTGTGTAATATGTGAGGAAATGGATGGGATCAGGAGGCAGAAGAGCAAATACAATGGATGAGGTTTTAGGAAGACTAATTAATCATCTGAGCTACTTCAGGTATTCTCTTTCATTGTAGGCTGCTGAGGTTATCCAGGTTGTTCTTTCTATTCATCCTGGGCGTCTATTTAAATGGGGTGGATATAAAAGCTGATCCCTTTCTGGGGCTATCCTGTAGTGTCACATTACAGCTGTAATCAGGGTCTAGTTCAAAGCCATACTAATTTGGATGAGTCCTTTGTACATCATCTCTGCTCTTCTCCCCCAGAAAATTTCATCATCCCCTGCTCCTTTCTCAACACACAAATGCACTCTTTTTTTTTTTCATCAGCTCTCCCTTTTGGGTTATTTTTCTTTTGCCAAGTCTCTTTTGCTAGCATGGCTGCTCGCTCTCTCTGTATAATTAATTGGTTTTTTAATTTTTGTACAGTTCCATACATGATTGAAATGAATGATTTAGAAAACAAACAAAAACGTCCTTGATATAAAATAAGATGGGAAGTGAAAGCTAAGAAAGTGCCAATAACTATACAATGTAATAATGATAGCTGAAAATACTCTTTCCTAACTACATCCTCTTCAAGCTAGCTGAACAGCTATGGATAGCATTTTTCTTAAAGCCAATCTTTGAATTATTGGAATCATCATAGAATACTAGAACTGTTAGGGTATGTCTACACTACCACCCTAGTTCGAACTAGGGTGGTAATGTAGGCAACCGGAGTTGCAAATGAAGCTCGGGAAATTCAAATCCCGGGCTTCATTTGCAACTCCGGTTGCCTACATTACTACCCTAGTTTGAACTAGGGTGGTAGTGTAGACATACCCTTAGGGACCTTGAGAGGTCATCAAGTCCACTCCCCTGCCCTCACGGCAGGACCAAGCACCATCTAGATCAGTGGTCCCCAACGCGGTGCCTGCGTGCGCCATGGCACCTGCCAGGGCATTTATGTGCGCCCGCAGAAACATCTGAGCTGGCCCCGCCCCTGGCTCATGGCACATGCACAGTGCTGGCCCTGGGCTCAGGGTGCGTGGGCAGCCCCTACCTTGGGCGCATGGCACATCCGTGGCCCCGCCCCCGGACACCCAGCATGTGAGCAGCCCCGCCCCCGGACACCCGGCAGCCATGAAAGGTTGGGGACCACTGATCTAGATCATCCCTGATAGATGTCTATCTAACCTGCTCTTAAATATCTCCAGAGATGGAAATTCCAAATGCTCCCTAGGCAATTTATTTCATCGTTTAACCACTGTGAGAGTTAGGAAGTTTTCCTAATATGCAACCTACATTTCCCTTACTGCAATTTAAGCCCATCGTTTCTTGTCCTTTCAGAGGTGAAGGAGAACAATTTTTCTCCCTCCTCCTTGTAACATCCTTTTAGATAGCAGTTTTCAACTATCATGTCCCCTCTCAGTCTTCTCTTTTCTAAACTAAAGAAACCCAGTTCCGTCACTCTTCCCTCCATAGGTTATGTTTTCTAGGCCTTTAATTATTTCTGTTGTTCTTCTCTGGGCCTTCTCCAATTTCTCCACATCTTTCTTGAAATGTGGTGCCCGGAACTGCACACAATACTCCAACTGCGGCCTAATCAGCGCAGAGTAGAGAGGCAGCATTATTTCTCGTGTCTTGCTCACAACACCCCTGGTAATACATCCCAGAATCATGTTTGCTTTTTTTGCAACAGTGTCACACTGTTGACTCTCAATTGGCTTGTGGGCCACTCTGTCCCCTAGATCCCTTTCTGCACTATTCCTTCCTAACCATCGCTTCCCATTCTGAATGTGTGAAACTGATTCTAAGTGGAATACATTGCATTTGTCCTTATTAAATTTCATCCTATTTACCTCAGACCATTTCTCCAGTTTGTCCAGATCGTTTTGAATTATGACCCTATCCTCCAAAGTACATGCAATCCCTCCCAGCTTAGTAGCATCTGTAGACTTAATAAGCATACTCTCTATGCCAATGTCTGAATCATTGATGAAGATATTGAACAGAACCAGTCCCAGAACAGAACCCTGCGGAATCCCACTTGTTATACCCTTCCAGCATGACTGTAAGCCATTAATAACTACTCTATGAGAATGGTTATCCAGCCAGTTATGCACCCACCTTATAGTAGCCCTATCTAGGTTGTATTTGCCTAGGTTATTGATAAGAAGGTCATGTGAGACCATATCAAATGCTTTCCTAAAGTCTAGATCTACCACGTCCATCTCTTCCTCTTATCCACAAAACTGGTTATCCTATCAAAGAAAGTTATTGGATTGATTTGACATGATTTGTTCTTTACAAATCCATGCTGGCTATTACCTATCTCCTTATTATCTTTCAGATGTTTGCAAATGAATGATTTAATTATTTGTTCCATTATCTTTCCTGAGACAGAAGCTAAGCTGACTGGTCGGTAGTTTCCTGGGTTATTCTTATTTCCCTTTTTATAGATGTGCAATATTTTGCCCCTTTTCCAATCTTCTGGAATCTCTCCCAATTTCCATGACTTTTCAAAGATAATAGCTAATGGCTCAGATATCTCCTCTATCAGCTCCTTGAGTATTCTAGAATGCAGTTCATCAGGCCCTGGTGATTTGAAGACATCTTACTTTTTGAAGTAATTTTGAACTTGTTCTTTTTTTTAATTTTAACTTCTAAATCTTTCCCATTCACTATGTTAGGCATCCATTCACCATCAATCTTTTTTGTAAAAACCAAAACAAAGAAATTGTTAAGCATCTCTGCTATTTCCATGTTTCCTGTTATTGTTTCTCCCTCTTCACTGAGTAATGGGCCTACCCCTGTTCTTGGTCTTCTCCTTGCTTCTAATATTTTTACAGAATGTTTTCTTGTTACCCTTTCTGTCTCTAGCTAGATTGAGCTCATTTTGTGCCTTCACCTTTCTTATCTTGCCCCTACATACTTGAGTTATTTGCTTATATTCAACTTTTTTTAATTAGACCTAGCTTCAACTTTTTTTATAACTCCTTTTTGATTTTTAGATTGTGTAAGATATCATGGTTAAGCCAAGTAAGTTGACAGGAAACTTACGTTTTGTCAGGTGTTTGGGATGGATTGACGGATAAGCAAAGCTATTTTAGGATAATGAGGTTTATTAACTAAGGATTCCTTGGCAGTCATGTGTTAATTGTAATGGTATCACAATAATCTTTGGAAGATCTCAACTGTGTGTGTGTGTGTGTGTGTGTGTGTGTGTGTGTGTGTGTGTGTGTGTGTGGGTTATAAAGTTGGTAATTGGACTACTGCTGCTACAGTGATTTATTGTTGCAGCGGTGGTCAAAAAGGCAAATAGGATGCTAGGAATTATTAAGAAAGGGATAGAAAATAAGACACAGAATATCTTACTGCCCCTGTATAAAACTATGGTACGCCCACATCTTGAATACTGTGTACAGATGTGGTCTCCTCACCTCAAAAAAGATATTTTTGCCTTGGAAAGGGTTCAGAAAAGGGCAACTAAAATGATTAGGGGTTTGGAATGGGTCTCATATGAAGAGAGGTTAAAGCGACTGGGACTTTTCAGTTTAGAAAAGAGGAGACTGAGGGGGGGTATGATAGAGGTCTATAAAATCATGAGTGGTGTGGAGAAGGCGGATAAATAAAAGTTATTTATTAGTTCCCATAATAAAAGAACTAGAGGACACCAAATGAAATGAATGGGAAGCTGGTTTAAAACTAATAAAAGAAAGTTCTTCACACAGCGTGTAGTCAACCTGTGGAACTCCTTGCCAGAGGAGGGCTGTGAAGGCTAGGACTATAACAGAGTTTAAAGAGAAGCTAGATAATTTAATGGAGATTAGGTCCATAAAAGGCTATTAGCCAGGGGATAGAAATGGTGTCCCTGGCCTCTGTTTGCCAGAGGCTGGAGAACGATGGCAGGAGACAAATCGCTTCATCATTGTCTTCGGCCCACCCCTCTGGGGCACCTGGTGCTGGCCACTGTTGGCAGATAGGCTACTGAGCTAGATGGACCTTTGATCTGAGCCAGAACGTCTGTTCTTATGTTCTTATCAAGGGATAGGGGAACATGCTTATAATAACCTACAGTACGTTGTATTTTTTTGGTGACTTATTTTTTTCTATCTCCTTTTCACTAGGTTTCACCAAATCTCACACCAATGAGGCAGATTTCATCCTGAAAAGCAAGATGGTCTGTACTTCCCAGAGTACTTGTTTCCAAACAGGAACTTAGTAAAAGGGAAATCAGTGTATGTTTTGCAATTATACTTTTTTTTTTTTAAAGGGCTTTTAAAGTAGTTTCCTGGTAGTTAAACTCCAGCTATGATAGTTCTGAATAGCTGTTTCTCACATGACATTACAGTCCAGTTTTAAAGAAAAGGTGAATTTCAAACCTGATTTTTGATAACATATTACAGCCATGATTGTTAATAAGTATACTGGCTCAAGAAAATGCCTTTTAGAAGCAGTCTTACTGCTGAGGACTACCTTTTTTTTAAAAAAGGACATACCTGTTGTGCCAACTGAAAATGCATATGCCTAGTTCCAACTGCCTGTGGCAAAACTCCCATTGAAATCAATGGGAGCAATTTGGCCCTTAGCCTTGAATGTATGTTCATTTTCTATTATGTCTATGTACTGGGGTTGAAAAGGAAAGGGTATATCTTCTAGAGTATGACTCTGGCCCCTTCTGTTTGAATGATAATACCCATAAATGTATAACCCAGAAAGGGGGTATTTTGAGGGAAAAATACAAAAGGTCTCCTCCCTCAAGCCATGCAAGTTGGTCTTGCAAATGAATATGGGGTCACAAAAAGGAACTGTGAGTGGATGGGGATGCTGGGTGGTGAGGAGAAAGAGCTAGTGACTTTAGAAGAGCCAGATAAAGGAGCTCCTGTTCAAATTCAGATTGAGGAAAGGTTTAAAGTGATAAGCTCCCTGTTTTCAGCACTTTCCCCAGCTCTTGCTGATCCAAGAAGCAAGTAGTGTTTCAGGACCCAAACTCATAAGATCACTAGAATGCCTCGGTGTAGAAGTCACAGTGAAGATGAAATGCAATTTCCTTTCCTGATGTTTCCTACCCTCTCACCTTCCCACTTGGTAAAGCTTTTCCCTTTCCAACTCTGAATCACAAAGAGAACTATTGTTTTTTGATATGGTATGATTCTGACAGCACAGGTCCTTCCTTCACAGTTCAATACGTGTAAATCCAGTATTTGGAATCCCAATTCACTAAAGTCCACATTAACCAAAGCCTAATACTCGCTCCTGACACAGTGGCTTCCCATTCTACTAAATATTTTGGAAGTCCCCAAAATGCTATTGTTAAAGGAGGTCCTGTCATACATGTGACATCAGCATTATGGGTCAGCAGTGTGTCAGGAAGCCATGCCATGAATGAACGAATAAATAAATAAACATGAGCAACCCAGGCAGTGAGAAAGGAAAAATCAAACTTGAGACAGATGAGGGAGTCTCCCACTTCTTAAAGTGCTATTTGCTTGGTGTTGTGGGAAGAGCAGGGGATGTTCTGAAAATAGCACTGGGAGCTGGAAATAGTCCTCCCATGGCCTAGCTCCCTCAGTGTCCTTGGGCTTCTCTCCCACATATCCCTCACTTTAATGGGGAATAATACTCCTTTACAGGGTTCTTACAAAATTAGGCCTGTTCTACACACACTTTGTATTGGTATAACTAATGTCATTAGAGGTGTGAATGTTTATTGCTATTCTGGTACAGCCTTACTGGGGGTACAATTATACCCACATCTATATTCCATACCAAAATAGCATCTCCTTTTTTTCAGAAATAAGGTGTGCTAACATAAGCACCTGTACACCAGTAATAACTCTATACTGCTATAAAACGTGGGTGTGTAGCCAAGGCCACCAAGTGACTATCTGAATAAGAAAGGTGTTGTGTAAGTGGTAGGTCAGGTTTCATATAAAAAGAGTTTTGTCTGATACTTAATTTGTTTGAAAGATTTGAAGTGACACTGGAAAAACCACTCCAGAATAACAGCAAGCAACAGTCCTGTACTGGCCCTAGTTTCCAACTAGCTCTAAGGTCAGGAGGATTCCTGTATTATAAGCTCCGGGGGAAGATGTCTATTAATGATTTGATCGTTTCCACCCATTTGGAGTAAAACCAAAAAATCAGATTTAAGATGTTATTCCTGAGGGTTTTGTATAGCTAGATTTCTCCAGGGTTGCTCACTAATGGCTCTGCTATTATGAAAAATAATGTCCTGTGGGTTTGGATAAAGCAATTCTGGGTTGATGATCGAGCAGCTAAGTAACCTGAGCTAATTCACCAAGTCCCCTCGCTTATATTGGTTGCTGCTGAGAGAGTACTTCTGGTGATGTGTAAAGTAAAAAGTGCATATTGTTATCTAAGGATCAGTTAATACTCACTTTTGATGCAATGAATGGGATCATAAATGGGTTCCTGCTAGTAATTACTCTTAAATTTACTAAAGAACACTCAGTGTGTGTGGTGGTGGTGGTAGTGGTGGTGATGTTTTTCAAAGAAAAAAACATAAAACATATCTAAGGATGGAATTTACTACACCTTTAATACTTTCCATTTGTCTATAAAGAAAACTATGTTTAAATAAGAAAGGGAAAATATTAAGACTATCTAGAGAATTTAATATTATCTAATGAAATTAACTATATTAAATTAAGCTCAATAGCAATTAATTTGGAGGAGACTTAGGGTTTTCCCTCCAAGTTTGTTTACCACAGTTATGGAATCTTAAAGGTGCAAGAGTACAGCAGCAAATATATATTATTTCTTCCCCCAGGATCCCTCATTCACATGCACTTATAGATGCCTCATTATCATTAGAATTGATGTTGATGAAAGAGAGGAATAAACTAATAGTAGTTAGAAGGTCTTAAAATCCTAAGCAAAGGACTAGAAGCCAAGAACTCTTGAGCTATAATCTTAGCTTTTGTGATATTTTAGTTGTAGCCTTGGAAGAGTTACACATGCACATATACATACACATGCACTTAAGTTTCTCCAGCTGTAAAAAAGAGAGTTGTGCGGAGTTAATTAGCTAAACTCTGTACAGCAAATAAATTGTTTCCTCCTTTGATCAAGAGTATAAAAGAACATTTGGGGACTGACATGTATGATGAATGTTTTGGATGTGATTCTACTCACACTTTGTATCAGCATCACTCAGGAGAATTGAATTCAATAGAGTTACACTAGCAAGTGGAGATAAGAGTTGAATCGGGGCTTATCAGCATACAACTATTTTGCTAATGTCTGTCTACCATCCTATCTGTATTTGCCTCAGTAACTTGATCCTATGGGAAGGGTATTTGTATTCTTATAAAACTGTCAAGTAACCCTCATAAGCCAACTGTCCTAATGTTGTGGTCCTGTTTTATCAAGACTTGTATTATCATGATGAGTGACAATGTATACACTTGATTTTCATAGCAGCCAAAGGCATTCTTGTTAGTCAGTTGGACAGCTTTCCTATTGAAGAGCACTGAACAAGCAAGTCTGGTTCATAGCTGAAATGTACAAACTAGGTACTAGCTGTGATGACAGGTTCTCCTTTCTCCGCTCCATAACAACATGAAGGCAGGAAGTACAAGGAAGGTCCAGTGGGATATCAATGAGATCATTGGCTGAATAGCAGCATTTCACAAGACAGAGATAACATAATGCCCATCAGTTGAAGAAGGTGGTAATTCTGTCAAATCACTGACAGATTTCTCTTTCTAATTGTTTAAATCAATACTTCTCTTTTTTTTGTCCTTTGCAGAAGCAAAAAAAGTGAACTGGTGGTATAGATGACTATTGTACTGTAAACTAAATGTCAAAGTCCTTTATGTGTACTTGCAAGACAATAAAAATTAAAAGATTTTAAAAGGGCTGGTCATGTGTATTGCTAGTGCTCTTTATAATGAAGCATCCTCAGAATGTTCTGTTAGAAACATACAAGAATCAGCAGACTTTCTGCTGGCATATTGAATGTGCTATAATGTGCCTCATCACTACAGTCATGAAATGAGAGTTGGAGGAACTTGATAAATAGGAGGAATGCAAATTTGGAAAGCAACAACTGAGGTCAACTAACTGGTCCTAGTGCTTTCCATGGTCTCTCCTAGTATTGCATTGTGTGTTTGGCCATATTGAATGACAGCTCATAAAAGCATCCACAGTAAATGTTTTTCAAGTGACTTGCAGTTCACACTGGTGAAAAGTCAGTGTAAGGAAAAGAAGATACCAGGGAGGAAGAGGAGTACACCTACACATCACAATGTGTCAGTAGTCACTTTGTGTGACCTGGACACCTTAGTGGAGTCATTTGTCTCTCTAAACCAAATGTGGGCAAAACCGCCTCTGCGGGCTGGCTCTGGCCTGCAGCTTCCCTGCTGCTCCCAGGCCAATCGAGACCTGTGAGCACATGAAGTCTCCTCCCCTGCCAGGAGCCTGCAGCACCAGAGAAAATCACCAGCTTTTTGAAAACAGATGGAGGTTCTCTTTAGCTGCCATGTACCCCTAGCAGGCTAGGATCAGGGGGGCAAGGGACTTTGCATGTTCCCCCTGCCCCCAAGCCCTGATTGGCCTGTGTGCAGGGGGAGTGCATGAAGTTTCCTTCCATTGCAGCACCTAAAGGGAACCACCAGGCGGTTTAAAACTGCTGGTGATTCTCTCTCTCTCTCTCTAGTCACTGGGGGGGTAGGGAGGGGGAGACATCACATGCTCCTCCACCCCCAGGCCAATCAGGGTCTGTGGGAAGGGGAGCATGAGAAGTCTCCTGTCCTATCCCCTTCCGCCTGAGGCCCTGCCCCTTCTGGGGCAACCTGGAGCCACCAGAAATGTATGAAGTGGCCCCCTTTTAAAAATTGCCTGCTCTAAGATAAAGACTTGCACCAAAGGTGCAAGTCACACTTTTTATAGTTAGCAAAACAAGGACTGAAGCTTTGGTATTCATGTGCATATGCAGCCTGAAAATATTTTAAGGCATCATTTTTGGCTCAGGGTCATAAATTCTAGCATTGGCCTGGTGATGAATCCTGGTGATTGCTGAAGTATTGGAAATGCTGCCTGTTTACGATAGACATTTAAATGTCATTCATGTCAGCATATCCTTTTACCTCCAATATCATAACCACCACAACAAAAAAGCTGGATGAAAAGCAGGAAGAAAAATGCTGAGATTTGAGCAAAAAGGATGTTTGATCAGAAGAAAGAGCCCTTGACCATTTCTGTGCATGACTATGCTCCAGCATTTCTTCTTCCTGTTCATGAATTGTGGTAAAAGTTAGCCTGCTTGCATATTTCAGATTACTACAACCATGGAGCCTGAAAATCTACCTCTCCTACAAGGTCATTTTCACTGACTATGAAATGCAGTTGTGTGCACACAGGCTCAGCCAAATGAACACAGAGCTAAATGGCTTTAACTCCCCTTTTAATCTTCCTGATACTGGGCTATTCCTAGCATTTTTGTGCCCCCCACTCCCCAGCATATCTTACACCGCTCTGAGGGAAGTGCCATATGACTTCCTATGGCAACACCACCTCTTAGAAGCTCCTCAGTGCTATGAACTCCAATCCTACCCATTCCTCAGTGCTATGCTTCTCCAGCCCCCGGTCTCCCCTCATACTTTGGGCTTGTGTTATGTCCTATGCAAGGCAGCTGTGGTAGTCTGATGAATTGCCTCTATTAGGCAAATTCTCAACCAGCAGACTAATGGACTATTGCATTCCACTGGACTGCAGCAGCATACATGGGCTGGGCTCCCTGTGGGAGAGGCTCCCTTCCTGAATACTTGCAGGTCAAATATCTGAGGCTTCAGGACTTAGTGGTGGGTTTTGTCACATAGAAGTTTACCATGTCAGATTGGCTCACATGCTTTGCTAATGCAGCAGCAAAATGTGATTGTATAGTTTGGATAGCCATACTCCAGTGCTCCAAGTAGGTCAGACTTTCAAAGGGCCCTCCAATGCATACAGCTATTGAGCATTCTGAGCATTGTGAAAGCACGTGCACCAAACTACAAATGGTAGCTCTCTTATGTGCGTGAATAGTAGAATTTAAATGCACAAAACTCAATCTATGTGCATGTAACACTATCCCCCTGAGCATGCAAGCAGTAATGCTCAGTATGTGTGCACTCAAGGGCTTATATTTGCAAAATGGCATGTGCTCAAAGGGGGTGGGGGCTCATTTTGACAATTTGGTTGCATGTATTTTCCTATTGAAGATGGGAAATGAGGTATCAGAGCTGGTGAAGAATTATTCAGTGGAAAATTAGTGAGAGATTTGGTAACAGATTACATTCTTCCCCCGGGATGCATGCCACATTGCTCTGAAAATGTACATCTATTATTGTACAGTCGGGGCAAACTGTGCCTGTACCATGTAGATGGTGAGTGAATCAAAAGTTGAATCTTAAAGAAAAAGCATAATCTGACTATAAGGAAACAAAAGCCACCATAAAAAGTACAAAACATCAGAGCAAGAGGCATCTGGCAGATATGACAATCTCATGTAATAGCCTTAGATAAATCAGACTGAATTAAGTTTTTAAGTAGCTTTGGAGTCCATTGTATTAAAAATGCAATATTTATGTATTACGGAATTGTATGAAACTTTGGGGAGGGACAAGTAGTCTAAACTCTGGGAAGTGTTATGAACTTCAAAGGTGAACTTATGGGACAAACAAAGTTAGATGTGTTTCCCATTAAATCTGTAGGAGAGAATAGGTACGTAATGTTTGCCTTTCAGTTATGCAAGAACTCAGATGTATAGTGAAGACTTTAGTTTGCTGATTACCTGTTCTCAGGGTCCCAAATACAAGACTCAAGCTGTATAAAGAAGTGACTCTAAGTTTCACAGATGTTCTTGTTCTGAGCAAAACTTATTGTGAACTTGTGACCCCTTAGAGTTAAACCCCTGAGGGTATGTCTACACTACCACCCTAGTTCGAACTAGGGTGGTAATGTAGGCAACCGGAGTTGCAAATGAAGCCCGCGGGGCGCCCCCATTTTTAAATGTCCGCTAGTGAGGACTCCTTGCCCCGCGGCTACACGCGGCACGGACTATGTAGTTCGAATTAGGCTTCCTATTCCGTGGAACGAGGAGTAACGGTAGTTCGGAATAGGAAGCCTAATCCAAACTACCTAGTCCGTGCCGTGTGTAGCCGCGGGGCACGGAGTCTGCACTAGCGGACATTTAAAAATTGCGGCGCCCGGCAATATGGAAATGAAGCCCGGGAAATTCAAATCCCGGGCTTCATTTGCAACTCTGGTTGCCTACATTACCACCCTAATTTGAACTAGGGTGGTAGTGTAGACATACCTTTAGAGAGTTAGAGGACTGACTCCAGTCCTTCTGAATGAAATCCAGAAGATCTCTGCTAATCTTATAACTGTAGGGTTTTTTGCTTTCAATATGATTATTCCATAATGTTTTACCTTTAAAATAAGTGTACTTGCTTAGAAAGAGCTATGTAGTAACTTATAAGATGGTGTTTATAGCCTTTGAGGAGAAAGCAAAGCAGGCCTGTTTAGGCAGTCTGACTTGCTGTGAAACTCACAGTACAGCCTTGAATAAACTGAGTCAGAAGCAAATAAGGCTATGTATGGACTGCAGAGCTTTTACCAGGATATCTCCGGTATCCCGGAAAAGCTCTGGCACGTCCAAGGAATGAGTCGGAAAAATGGACACATTTTTTTTGGCATCCCTGTAAACCTTGTTTTACGAGGAAGAAGGGATATAGATGGGCCAAATTTCAGAAAAGCCTCTTTCAGAAGTAAACCAATTTATCTGTGTCATGTGGACATAGCCTAAGACACAGGTCTCCACCCAAAAGAAGTAATGGCTCAGGAGCCTTGAGTGGGAGCCCTTTTTGGACCACAGAGGGGACTACAGGTGCAGGTGCCCTGGACTATGAAAAGGACAATGGGAATATTTCATAGATTTTCAAGCCACAAAGGGCTATCAAATCATTCAGTTTGTGACCTGTCTGGCACAGCCCATCAATGCTCCCCAGCCACCTGCACACTCAAGCAATGCCCTGTTGTGCTTAGAATGGCAGGAAATCGGTAAGTGAGATATGTCTAATGACTTGTATCCCGCATTTAAATAAGAGCATAAATAACGTGCAAAGCAAAATCAGATGCCATCCATCAGGTAAAAGCAATTAGGTTAGAGCAAACCACAGAAGGAACAAATACACACATGGAGGAAGTGGGATATTCATCTATTATTGTACAGTCAGGGGCAAACTGTGCCTGTACCATTTAGATGGTGAGTGAATCAAAAGTTGAATTTATTATGTGCTGTCCTTGTGCTGCAGAAACACTTGGATAAGCTGAAAGCAATCTTCAATTATGGGCAATTAGCACATTTTCACAGATCTGTCCAAGAATAATGAGAAGCTCAGCAAGCGAGTCAATAAACATCCATCAAAAATATAAACTTTAGAGTAAAAACAAAGTAGTTCAGCTTGTCGCTCATTCCTGTCTAGATTAATCTTCTTGTATTCTTTAGAACAAAACCCATCAAGTACGTTTTCTTCTCCCCCATTGCCCACTCAGGGAAGCAGCACCTCTTCTGGCCTGACGTCCTGTGGAAGTAGGGATGTGGACAGTTCCCCTTCTTATGCATCAGGCTTCAGGCTCCTCCTCCTCCTTCAGTCCCTTGCCTCCCTGGGTTCAGATAAAGGCAGGAAGGTCAGTGAGAGTATATTTGATTGCCTGGCCCAGTGAGTTACCACAACACATGGGCGGAGAGGAGGGGAAAATAGTCTGGGCCCTAGGATGACGGCTCTAAGGGATAGCGCAAGAAGCAGCCACTAGTACCTCAGCACCTGCAGGGAGATCTTCTTACACAGTATGGGCTAGGCCCTTTAAATCCT